TTCCGAGGGAGCCTCGTGGTGGTGGGCGCGGGGTGGTGAGCGAGGGCCCTCCCCGACCGCCGTTTCCTGCTGCAGGTCTATTCTGGACTCCTCCTCCGCAGAGAAGCCGGTCATTTTCAGCGGAGCGCCGGTGTGAAAGGCTTTATTGGAAATTACTAGGCCTCCACCGAGCACAATGAGACAGGCAATTCAGAGCGTGTTCAGGGAGGAGCGCTCGCCCGCCGTGATTACACCCGACAGGAGGCATTCGGGGGACGCTGGCGCGGCGGTGACAGCACAATAGGCAAGGGCTGGGAGCGACTGTCAGCCCAGGAAGGAAGAACCGAAAAAGAATGAAAAGGGACAGAGATGGAAATGACATTTTATGGAGAGGGAGAAAAAGTAAAAAACAAAACAGAAACGGGGGCTGAGCTGAGAGACATTGAAAACTTTTCAAAACGGGGGAAAAGGCACAAAAATAAAAGAATGATTTTACGTGGAAGAAATACAGGAAGATAACCACGTAATTCAAAAGCCGGAGGAGTGTCCGATATAAAGAAACAGACCATCCTTTGGGCTGCTGCTTTTGGAGCACAAGCTAGAGAAAAAAACTTCTAAATAAATATATCATTTACTGACCTCAGAGAGGAAGGGAGAGGGAGCGGGAGCAGGAGACAGAAACATCCATGATGAGAGGGAGTCACTGATTGGCGGCCTCCTGCTAAATCGGGGATCAAGCCCGCAACCCAGGCACATGCCCTGAGCAGGAATCAAACCTTAATCCTCCCGGTTCAGAGGTCGACGCTCAACTACTGAGCCACTGCGGCCGGGCAAGCAAGAAACACTGCTAGCACTCGACCCAGCTTCCTGCCGGAACCGTGGGTGTCTCTGCAGCCATGACACTGTCCACAGCCACAGCCACGCCATGCCACGCCCACGGGCTGCCCGAGCTCCTGCTCCCGGTCTTTGCAGGCAGATCCCGCCTGGGCCTGTAAGTCCCCTCTCCCCTGGGAAGCTGCGTACATTTAAGACAGTGAGAGCAGCTCTGGGTGTGCCGTCCCCCCCACCGAGGACAGAGTGACGGTTCCTTAATTCCGCAGGTGAGCCTGTGTCCATGAGCCCGAGCCATCCTTTGCCCATTCGTTTCCATGTCTGTTTTGTGACCCCCAGCAGCGGTTGGTCTCAAGTTGAGCTGTGGCATCGTTCCCTTACTGAATAGATGGCTTTAAAGAATTGCAATTTCCCCCTAAAATCAAATCGAGCCAAAGTCCTGGGATTTGAACATTCCTGCACTGCAGAAGTGACGCCGAACGCAGGCCGGATGGAGCCGTGTCAGCAGTTCCCTCCGCGTCTGTCCCCGACGCGGGAAGGCCCTCCCTGTGTGCCGGTCCTGGCTCACACCGGGGACTCCTGCGATCACTGTGAACGAAGATGGCTATTTCTAACAGGCATGCAGGAGTCGGGGCAGGAAAAGCCGGACCGTTCTTGCAAGAATCTGTGTTTGTCTAACCCAGTGGTTAGCAAACCACGGCTCGCGAGCCACATGCGGCTCTTTGGCCCCTTGAGTGTGGCTCTTCCACAAAATACCACGTGCGGGCGCGCACGTACAGTGCGATTGAAACTTCGTGGTCCATGCGCAGAAGTCGGTTTTCGGCCTGGGCGTGTCTATTTTGAAGAAGTGGCGTTAGAAGAAGTGGGGGGTGGCAGACGGTTGGTCGACGGGAGACGCGGCGCAGGCAGGCGGGCCACGGGATACGCAGTGCGGGGGAGGCGTGCGCGATTCATGCACGAGTTGAGAGAGCCAGTCAGTCAGCAGTCTCATTGTGCAGTGGTGAGTGCTAGTTGCGTCCACAAATCACTCGCAGGTGACAAAAGTACCTACTCGAAGCATAAAGTTAACTGTATTTTTCCAACCAGCTGCAAATCCTACAGGTATTTTTGTCATCCATTTAAGAATTGTAATTATTTTGTGTTGGTGGCTTTATTATTATAAAATGAGTACATGTTTAGCAAAGGCCAGCTTAGGAGTACCCTAATTAAGTTAATAACAATGTACCTACCAATATAGTTTAAGTTTAAAAAATTTGGCTCTCAAAAGAAATTTCAAACGTTGTACTGTTGATATTTGGCCCTGTTGACTAATGAGTTTGCCGACCACTGGTCTAACCTCCGGCCTCTGCAACAAAACCCTCCAACCCACAACTTGTAACAAATGCCGGGTCTATAAGCACGCAGCTCAGAGCGTGTGCACGTGGCACGGGCAGGTGCATGCAAACAGGTGCACGGCAGGTGCACGCAGGGGCACTGGGAGCAGCGCCGCACGGCCTCACCTTGCCCTTGTCGAAGTAGTGGATGATCTCCTGGTACAGCTGCTCCTTCAGCTGCCCCTGCGTCGTCGCCTGGTACCCGTCCCGCTGGGTGAGGTGGGCCACGCACACATCCTCCGACCACTGAGGAGAAAGCAGTGCGTGAGTCCTGCCACCGGGACAGGGCGTGGCCAGGCCCCCACTGCCCACCCTCGGGCAGAAAGCGCAGGGAGCTCGGCATTCAGAGCCCTCACGTGGCAGCAATGCCGGGACGCTTGGCGCTGCTGTCACCAGGCTGCCGGGCCTGGAAATGAGCAGCGCCCTGTGCAGAGGCCCTGAGGAGGCAAAGGAGGCTGGAGTCCAATAGGAGAGAAACTGGCAGGTCTGGAAATACAGACCTGATAGCTGACGGTGCCCTATCATACCTGGAAAGAACAGGGATGGACTCTAAGCCCTGTCACACCTGGGATGGACTCTGAGCCTGGTCACACCTGGGATGGACTGGGATGAGCTATGAGCCCTGTCACACCTGGGATGGACTGGGATGGACTATGAGCCTGGTCACACCTGGGATGAACTGGGATGAGCTATGAGCCCTGTCACACCTGGGATGGACTGGAATGAGCTATGAGCCTGATCACACCTGGGATGGACTGGGATGGACTCTGAGCCTGGTCACACCTGGGATGAACAGGGATGGACTCTGAGCCTGATCACACCTGGGATGGACTGGGATGGACTCTGAGCCCTGTCACACCTGGGATGGACTGGAATGAGCTATGAGCCTGGTCATACCTGGGATGGACTCTGAGCCTGATCACACCTGGGATGGACTGGGATGAGCTATGAGCCTGGTCATACCTGGGATGGACTGGGATGGACTCTGAGCCCTGTCACACCTGGGATGGACTGGGATGGACTATGAGCCTGGTCACACTTGGGATGCTTTTCTATGTTTAAAAAAGTGAGGCTATAGCTAGAAAGATGCTCTGATGACTTGCTCATGTTCTAAAATGTGAACCTGGAGGTGGTGTGGGATCCCCTCCCCCTCACCCTGGCCTGGGACTCTGCCGGGGTAGGTAAGGGTGTGTCTCGCCCCTCCTGTGGCTCCTCCAGCCCCGACATTCCTCCTCGCGGACGCCCTTCCCCACCGTAGCTGCGCCTGGTTGGTGTGAACGAGGCCCTGCGGGGTCTCTACCTGCCAGCTGACAGCCAGTGATGGGCGTTTACGTGTTTACGACGCTGAGTGACAACTTGCTGTGACACCCTGTCAAATCTGCATCCACTAGGGACAAACCTACCATCCAGGCATTTTCTAAATGTCTCGGTTGCTGCCACTGCATGTAGCCAGCACCATAGAAAGAATCTTACCGTGTGGTTTCCTGACACGGCCCTGAGAAGCAGCTGGACGCAACGCGAGCATCGGTGGCGACAGGACCGCGGCGGGCGGCGGTTTCCTTACCTTCAGCAGCTTCGCGTGGAGCAGCAGGGTGTACGCCGCCTCCGTGTAGTTGTCACACTCCTTGTGCAGGTCACACAGTTTGTACAGGTACCTGAGGCGAGAAAACACGGGCGCATTCGTACAATGTCACCGGATGATTTGCGTCGACGACGGCGAGAGCTACAGTCTTCCTCCAGCAATAAATGGTGCTGTGCTTTCTTTACACAGCGCTCCCGTCCCCCACGCCGAGGGCACATTTGCCGCAGGGAGCACTAACCCCCACAGGGTCACAGGCAACCGTTTATGTTTCAAATCCACGTCGTCTCATCTCGGGACAGAACTGGAGACGGAACAGGGAGGCAGACGGTACTCCGGGCGCGTCCAGGTTTCTCATTCCTTCCACCTGAGTTGTCTCCGTACGTGTGAAACGAGACGACACAGCGCTTGACCGTGATTTTCTTATGTGACTATGGAATCCATAGGCCCCCAAACCCATAAAAACACAAATCGGTAAGAAAAAGGACTCGGAGGGTCACGGTGACTATGACCCAAAGAAGGCCCTGCCACACAGAAATCAACGTGAAGCAACGGACAGTTTTGGAAAAAAGGAACTTGGTTGTTTTCCCCAGAGTGTATTATTATAGTCATGTGGCACTTTTTTTTAAAAAGGAGAAAAGTAAAAAAATAAAAATAAAAATCATGAAAATCCAAAGTCGGAAGACCATGGAGGTGTAATAAGCACATCATTAAACACCAGCGCCCGTGGAGTGCGTCCCTAGTGGGGGTCTTGCTGAGGGTGTGACGCTGGCCCCAAAAGGAGGCGGGCAGGCGACAAAAACCCAGCAGAAAGTACAAACACGCGGCGATGGGGTCAGAGTAAGAACGGACTGAAACCTTTCGTGTCTCCTATTTCCAATAAAGTTAACCCATTGTGCGCCGTCAGCGTCTGTAGGTGTAAGCGGCGGACCTTCCCTGCACGCCACGCGAGTCAATAAAAAAAAAAAAATGTTTCCCTAAGTGGCAGCCCTGACCAACTTTAAAATAATTTTCCGTGAGAATTTTCAGCTGAAACTATTCAAGAACGCCCGAATGGTGAGTTATGTATTTATTTTTAGACTATTCATTGCAAATCGATTTTTTTAAATTAAATTCAAGATATCGTGGCTGTAGTTTCCGTTTTGGATGCGTGGCAGCTCACGGTTAAAACTGGCCTTTTCATTTGATCTGTGACCAAGAAGTACAAACCCCAGTGAAATAATCATCTATGTCTTTGCTTCGGGGCTGGCTAAGTATGATGGCCCCCGCCCCCCAATCTCCGCACAGGCCTGGACGAAGGCACACAGGCCCCGAATACATAGGGTGCTCCCCAAATCCGATCTCTAGGCTTCACGACTCCCACACGATGAACCTGTGGTTCTTCAACATTTCTTGGCGTGGGCGTGGCCCGCGCAATTGTTAACAGACACGTAGAGGGAGCGACACACACACGGCACCTACATACCTGATATACATTTCTTCTCTTTCAATCTCTTTGTAGAAATTCTGAAAAATCGAAGCACAACACCTTTAAGAAACCTGTTCTAGAAAGGGTGTGACACGCACATTGAAATTTCACGGTTCCCCAACGTGTGTCCAGCACAGCCACATGGGCCCAGCGCTCTGCACTAAGGCCACAGGGTCACACGTGATGCAAAACCGACGTGCACACGCCTTCCCTTTTTTATGGGGGGGGGGGTCAAGGAGGGGCAATCCTAATGGTCACAGTTCCTACACTTTGCATCCTATTCAATCCTCTACTTCACGACTGAAGCAGATGCTCAGAGTTTTGGAATTCCAGTCGGAACCACCGTGGAGGGGCCTCGAGGAGAGGAACCGCGTCTGTAAAATAACATGAGTCGGCCGCTCTCAGACGGGCCTGCTGTGGCGAGACGGCACAGAGGAGCAAGGCCACACAACAGAGTTCCCGCCCAGGAGGAGCAGATTGTGGGGTTATCGGGCGACGGAGGAAAGGCTACTCAACCCCAAACGTGCATTTTCTCTGCTGGAACCACAGCGGATACACAGGCTTGTCTGCCCGGGAAGCCGGGGGCCAGAGGTCACCAGGACCTGGGGAACCCGGGGGTGGGGGGGCTCGCTCACCAGCACGTTGACGGTGCAGCTCATGCGGTTCTCCTTGCTCTCGTCGTGCATGATGGTCCTGTAGTCCAGCAGCCGCTCCATCAGGCGCACCACCAGCCGCACGAACGTCTCGCCCGTCTTGGCCAGGTACTTGTGCTTCCGGCAGTGCTCCAGGAGGCTGCGGGGAGCCACACGTGTTCACCCGTGTTCACCAGTGTTCATGCGGCCCCGAGCCCCGCGGGGGTGCCGTGCAGGGGGCAGGCCTTCCCATCACGGACCCCGGGGCATCACTGCTGGGCTGCAG